TATATATATTTTTATATAACTTTAGTGTAATACTTGAGAATGAAGTGTAGTCCTTACAATGATAGTGATCAATTGGCTGTATTTTTTGAAGAAATTACCTGTCTATATGACAGGTATGACTAATAAGGAAACCATTATATTCCTCTGTACAGTAGTACAAATGGTTCATTTTTTTTAACATATGAAAATATTCCTTTGGTTCACCTAGAAAGAAGTGCTTTGTTTCTGGCGGTATCTCCAACGACTGGTTGATGTAGCTTTCTGTACAACAAAGCCTATAACATACATACATACATATGTATACATATGTGTGTGTGTGTGTGTGTGTCTACAGTATAAAGGGATGGGTGGGGGAAATAGGACTGAAAACATAAAGAGCTGTAAACTTTACGGTAGGGTGGATGACCTTACCAAAAATACGTAACTTGATTTTGAAATTTCTTTAGAGCTGATTTTTCGATCAACCTGCTATGTTTTCATATGGTGGGACTTTTTTTTGCTAATTATAAAAAGAAAAGAAAGGAAAACACTTCATAGTTTTAACATCCATAGAAAGTTACTTGATTTTTTTTTTTCTTTCTCTTCTCCTCCAACATACTGACTTTCCTGTGCTGCATGAGGCATGTATACCTTTTTATCCAAAGGAAAATTTCAAAATTATGCTAGCTATTGTTTCTAACACCGTTGTAGCTGTGGAAAATGCTAACTTTTCAAGATGAGGTAGAAAGGTTTAATTAGAGCAAGTAGAGATGTTCAAGTAGCAGTTGAAAGCCTTGATATGGCCTTTTTACTCTCTCTGTGTTTCCCTTGTTTTTCTCCTTTCCTCATTTCATTGTGTTCTGCATCAAACCCCCTACATCCCTCAGAGCTGCGAGAAGGTTGGTGTGTTTTTTACTTTTTACCCACCTTACAAAACTATTAATTAAACCAATAACAAAGAATACAAATGAAATGAATGTAGCTGCATTGTGGCGTTTTTTAAGTTAATGTTATGTTTAAGCAGAGAATGCCCTGGTCATGGCTTTTGATGAGTGCTGGTATCTTAACTGTTGTGCATGATAAGAGAGAATGAACCTGAATGCATGGCAACCTTTTTAGCTTTAACACTAATGTCTAGTAAATTTGGTCAGTGTTCCTGCTTTTTCTTCCTTTTTGATTTCTTGTTTATACTGATGCCTGCTTTTCAAGGAATGATTTCAGCAGTTGCTTTTCTAAACAGCCCGCGCATGAAGACTAAACTCTCCTTTGTCTATAAGGATTGTGTTCAATACAAGAAATTCCTCATTGCCTGCTGCTTGCTTTGTGTGGCCTCTGTGAACTGGCCACTTACGGATGTTTTGCTCTCCGCTTGTTCCCCTTCTGCCTGTCATTCACTCGTGAGGCCATTGCAGTAAACCCCTTCTGAATCCATAGAAGATCACAGAAATTTAATCAAACCCAGTGGAAAGGTTTCAGACTAATACAGTTTTCATTACTTTTTTTAAAACTCACTCATAGTCTTTTATTTTACTTTTTATTTTTGCTGAATTAAAACTGTATTAATAATTAGCCTCTATTAAACCCAAATAAATACAGTTTCGAGTACACTGTCCAATGAAAGGCCTAAATACAAACCTACCTCTCTCAGCTACCTCTCTCTCTCTTCCACCTCCCCCACACATGTGCACACCACTGAGAATATTTGAAGCAGGAACACTGATCTGTTATTGCCTGGTAATTTTCTCGGTGTTGTGTTTGCTTAAATATTAACTACTTTGTTAGTGCAATGTCCTGCTATGTGTTTAAGGTTGCCACCCCTTGCTATCAATACAGAAATGTCTAATATTATTGATCCTCATAGCTTATTTTGCTTTCCCTTAACTGTGAGCATAGTGAAATCCTGAATGTTAAATGTTCTGCTGTTTTCCCAGTGTCCCTTCCTAGCAGTTGCTTTTTAACCATCTAAACTTAAGCTAATTTCCTTCTCCCTCAAACTCTGTGCTCCTCTTAAACTCCTGTATCTGTCAGCCTATCCTATCCCCATCTCTTTCAAGTTTTCTCTCACAATTTATTTTCTTTTTGAGTTATTTTTCTTTCTGCAGGTTTTACTCAGACATTTCCCTAAGCATGATTCTCTATTGATTCTGTCTTTTGCTTGCCTGCATGACCAAATCCAGTACTTTGTACTGGCTTTGCCTAGTTTCTTTCTGTGACTATATCTATATCTATATCTATATCTATATATATATATAAATATGTATATGTGTGCATATATATGTATATATATATTTGTATTTGTGTGTAATTATATATTTTTTCCATGTTTGTTTCAGTGTTAGTGTGAGGTCTTGAGGCTGCATCTACTTTGAGTCTGAAAGCAAATGAAGTTGCACTTTCAATGTACTGTAGGCAGTGTGTTCCAGGACTGTGATGTGACAATGTGGCCTAGCACATTTATTCACATCAACTGGAAGCACGCAGCATTGAAGTTGGTTTTGGTAATCAACTCAAGCATGCTGTTGACCTTCCAGTTTTCTTCTGTGCATATATATATATGTATGGGCACATAAAATGCATATATATATGTGTGTGTGTGTGTGCGTGTGTGCGTGTGTGTGCGTGTGTGTATATCTTTTGCATGGTGTTTGTGTATTGTTAGTATGTAGTTAGTTAACTGTGGGGCCCTAACAGGTCTGAATCAGCCTTTTTATAAATATACCTAATAATATCCTCAAGTAAATACAGAATAATTCACACTGTGTGCAGACAAAATTCTTGTTTATTCTTGTATTTCTATTATACATATTTTCTGGCAGATTGAAATAACACGTTAAAACGTTAAATTGTGTCTGTACACTGCGTGTAGTCCATATGCAAGACTCAGTTTCTTTTTTTGTATATGTTATTACCTTTTTTTGTGTTTTGTTCCAGTTCGACGGGTCCCACCGAGGTTCTCTATCCCCCCCACCAATCATGAGATCATGCCTGGCGGGAGTGTAAATATCACGTGTGTTGCGGTGGGGTCACCAATGCCATATGTGAAATGGATGCTAGGAGCAGAAGATTTGACACCTGAGGATGATATGCCAATAGGGAGGAACGTCCTTGAGCTTAATGATGTCAGGCAGTCTGCAAACTATACTTGTGTTGCTATGTCTACCCTTGGTGTTATAGAAGCAATAGCACAGATAACTGTCAAAGGTATATCCCAAGCACATATATTTGGATATAGTTCAGGTTTTTTTTCATTCATTGCCGTATTCTGAGCAAATATATTGCACTGAAAGGGACTAAGTATCTCTTACTCTCTTAAATCAAGAGGGTAAATATTTAGACCAATCACTGGCATAAGACAAAATACAGATTCAAACAGCAATAATACTAATAAATAAGTTAATCGTAATGTTCAATTATTCTGCTGTGTCTAGCTCCCAGCCTTCATTTCAAGTAAGAAAAGATCTTGTAATCTTGCATGTGCTTGTCAACAGCAGGAGCCTTTAAGAACCAGTCATTCAATTTTTAGAGTTGCTGGGTGTCCAAGTATCATATTCACTGAGTAACTGGAATCTAGAGGTTCCAAAAATATCTGAAAAGTAAACTATAATGATGCAATGTCTATAAGATTCCTTTTCTGCATATGTTTACTGAACCTATTCCAAAAGTCAGTATCATTAATTTATATCAAATAAACCTTACACTACTAAACCTGAAGATTTTTTGATAGATTTCTGCAGTAAATCATAATTGCAAAAAGCTTGCTCTGAACAGATCACACCTTCCTTCCATTCCAGTCTTCCTGTTCTGTTTTTTTTGTTGTGGTTACTTGTTTTGGTTTTTAAGCCGCTTATTGTAATAATTAATGTCTACTGTTACGTAGTGCTAACTGTATTTTTTGGCATTTATCTTTAGCCTTACCCAAACCTCCTGGAACACCTGTCGTGACAGAAAGCACAGCGACAAGCATAACATTGACTTGGGATTCTGGAAACCCTGAGCCAGTTTCTTACTACATAATCCAACATAAACCAAAAAACTCTGAGGAGCTATATAAAGAAATTGATGGGGTGGCCACAACACGCTATAGCGTGGCTGGCCTAAGCCCATATTCAGAGTATGAATTTCGAGTAGTTGCTGTAAATAATATTGGGCGAGGGCCACCCAGTGAGCCTGTGTCGACAAGGACTTCCGAGCAAGCACCTTCCAGTGCACCACGCAATGTGCAGGCCCGTATGTTGAGCTCTACCACCATTTTGGTACAGTGGGAAGAACCTGAGGAACCTAATGGACAAATACAAGGTTACAGAGTTTATTACACCATGGACCCCACTCAACATGTTAACAGTTGGATGAAGCACAATGTGGCTGACAGCCATATTACTACTATTGGAAATCTGGTACCCCAGAAAACATACAGCGTGAAGGTTCTTGCTTTTACTTCTGTTGGGGATGGACCACTTTCTAGTGACATTCAAGTCATCACTCAAACAGGAGGTAAGCAATGAACAGAATTTGTGCAAAAAAAAAAAACATGTTTAAATTTTACAGAGAGAATTTGAGTTTAAAATGTTGAAAAAAACTTCCTGTCAATGATAGCCGGTTTATTCAGGCAGCTTTTGCAGATAACCTTTTCTCAATTCTACAGTGCAAGTTGTCATAGAAGAGTGGAAGTTATCCCCTCGCACTTTAATTTGTTTTTCATCAATCTCAAGAAGTTTAACTGAAGTCTCAGGGCGACCTTCATCCTGGAAGTGGCCAAATGTTATGGCTATATTGACAAATATTCTGTTTGGCAGTTCTCTGTCCACAAAAAGTGTTTGTCAAGTAGTTCTTCACAGCTTTCTTTGAGGAGTTACCTATGTTGGTGGGTTTTGTTTAGGTGGCATCTGGCTCCTTTGTGCTACATCACTCTAATGAATCTTGCTTTTGGAAATTTAAAATGTATGTGTACTGCAATGTGTATTCAAATAGCTGGTGAGGTTCTGAGAACACATAAAACATGAAAGCATTAAAAAAGCCACAAACCTTTGTGTACGTTCAGACAAGCAGTTCTGTACACTTTGGATTCATAAATGACATCCAACCTGCCCCTATGAAGTGTATACCACAAGGTCACAATTTTCTTGTTTTATGTTTGCAGTTGGGTTGTTTTGTTTCTGTGCAGCAGTTTTAGATCCATGAATTAGCTTTATTAGCAAAGGACAAAAAAGCATGGTGAAAAACATTGCAGAGAATTTTTGTGAATTCAAAAGCGAGCAGCTCTGTTGGAGCTACATGGCAGAAAGTGTTTCATTGTAGCAATAAGAAATAAAAGCTCCCTTTGTCTAGCGGTTTAGAGAAAGTGGTATGAAGTGTTACTGGAGGTCAGTGATTGCCTAGAAGTATTATGTAATACTACTTTAATTTTTTAGTACTGGAAAGTTTCCTGTTGAAGACTTTAGTATCCCTCAATTTCTTAAAAATATGTCTCTGAAGTAACTGAAGACAGTTATGTTTCATCCACTTTTTACTTCTGTGTTTTACCAATATGCATTTAATAAAGAACAGAAATTGAGAGATTGTCCTGGAAGCTTTCTAAGTGTTGTGTTGCACAAAGGTCTAGGTGTTGCCTTTTGCAGTATCTCGGCTGAGAAGTTACTAAGTTAACTTTTTTTAGACTTTCTAGTGGTAGGTTAAAATGTGTTTGTGTGCACATGCAAGTATAAATATGTACACCTTAGTTCAATTTTGGCAGTTGTAACCTTTTTCAGGGACTAGTTTTTATAGCAACATCTGACTTTTTTTTTGAATCCATGTACAAAAAGGTTTTAAAGAAGGTTTAGCGAGCTCCTCATCTGTGTTTTCACTTACAACTGTAAACCTTTTAGATTAGCAAGAGTTTGTCAGTGGCTTCCCCAGAGAAGGATGAAGCAATTGAAATAATGAGCACTGAGGCTCAGCTGGACCGGCCCAAGTTACATTACTTGCTGAGGTCACTTCAGAAAAGCTCTGTTTATTAAAACCTTTATAGAACTTGTCATTAAACCTGCCCATCTGTTTCTGATTGCTGTTGCAATCTGAAGAAATTATGACAATGTTAACAGTTCAGGAGGGATTCTCAGTACATGTTTCCAACTTTGTAACAGAGCTGACTTGACATTGTTTATTTGTGACTATCTTAAAAATCAAAAGAAAACCAAAAATGTGACATACGGGAGGCGTTTTTAAGCATTGATACTTGTGCTTGAAATATGAACATTTTAACTCATAAAAAAGAAAAAAAGCAAAGAAAGTCTGCTGCAGATATCCAGTGCAGGGTGTGTTTAAAAACTAAGATTCTCCCTTCTTTCTATCCATCAGTTTCTCTTCAGTGGACACTGCAGAATGAAATGCCCTCCTTGCCCTTCTCTTCCAGATTTTCTGTAATCTAAATTTGAATATGATTGTTTTGGTTTAAGTCTCTTTCACGTTGAAACTCATCAAAATAAATATAGTAATGATAACGTGCCATTTAAAAACAGTGGAAGTGGATTTAATGGAAACATATGTAAAAGAGTAAAAGTAGGAATAGAATGATGATTACGTTTTGATTGATTTTTTTTTTCTTTTTTTGAAACAAATAAGCCTGTCATTGTAAAAATATAGCTTAAACCTTACGCTTTCTTTGGGGATATTAGAGTATATATTCAGCAAAATCTGATTGACAGCTGTGACTTACAGGCTCTGTTAGCTTGATTTCCTTCAAAGCTTTCCTCCCTTATGTGTATTCTGATTGTTTGAGAGAGTTTATAAAAATTGAATAATTTGTTTTAAAAAAGCCTGTTCACAAGAATCTTTGCTTTCTTAGTACAGCAGAATTGTCCTTTTGAAATGGCTTCTCACTTTGCAGGTCAGCTGAAACTCTGCTGATAGTGAAAATTAGGTTTCTAATTAAAATATATTCTAGGAACATGTAGTTTGAAGGGAAGACAAGGAAGCAATTCTTAGACAACTAAACATTACAAAAAGTAAAAGTTTTATGTTCATTCTTGTGTTTCAGTATTCTGCTTAAGGATTTAAGGAAAAGCCATGTCCTGTTGCCCAGTTGTTTTCAGTAGTGTTTTCTTTACTCTAAAAAGACACCATTTTAAGAAATTAAGTAATCAAAAAACAGCTGTAGAGCTGAGCCTTTTGAGTAAAGGAAGATCCATTCCAAAAGCTACAACTAAGAAAGACCTTATTCTGCATTTTGAGTCAAAGGATTTGATTCTGCTGAGTCAGGACTGGTATATTATTTAGGAGAACTGACTTACTAATGCCAAATTTTAGAATAAAGAAATATTGGTCTATGCTTGTCATACTTCTTGTCCTTTTTCTTTACTTCACTAGAAAACAAAAGCTCTGTTGGTTTGCCTCCATTTAGGTGCCCAGGACACACTTCTTACCTATCTTCTCGCCTTTCCTTTCTTTGCTTAAATTGGTCAGAAATACGCATACTGTCTGAGCAACATAGTTTAACCTGTGTGTACCAGGAAAATTCTTGAGCTTTAAACTAAAAGTCTGCGTTTTGGTTGGGTTTGGTTTGGTTTGGTATGGTTTGGTTTGGTTTGGTGTTAATGTGCAAAGAGAAGATAACTACTGAAGGAATTCAGAGAATCCTGTTTTTAGTATGAGCTTAGGTAGAAAGAAGGGAGAATGAAAGATATATGAGGTCTATTGGTAGTGGATTATGGGAGAAAGAGAGAGAGAAAAAATATTCTGGGAAGTGAATGTGTACCAGTAAACATATGCTTCTTTAAACAAGAACTTACAATATAAAACATATTGTTAATTTTAAACCAAGAGTTGGCAGTGGTTTGAAGAGGTGAGGTTTATTGCAGTTATAAAAGGCTAATCTTTTGAACATATGGAAAAGGACAGTAATGAGAAGGTCAAGTATCTGACCATCCGGGCGCATAAACACAGCCTTAGCTTAAGGGAAATGACTTAATGGTTCTGGAGTTCTGATTGTAAAAGAAGATCAGAAATTCAGAGGAAGGGAGTCTTTTGCAAGGGAATACAGTTCTGTGTTCTAGCAAGCTAGCTACTTTGCCAGACGTCTCAAAATTTTTTTATGAACACAAGAATGGAGAAACCTCATGTCTCTGAAACTCCACAGTACCAGTCTCCTAGTGAAGCATTTCATGGAAATGGACTTCACAAGGGAAAGGTTTGAGAGCATGCAGCTGGAAATTCAACCATGATGCAAGGAAGCAGGTGGAAGAAGATTAATTTGGAGTTGAGGTGGGGTGCAGGATGGTTTTTAAGTGACAAAATTTCCCTTAAGGAACATTTCTAGTCAGGTAGGAAAGAATATTTCAACTTTTGAACAACAACTTCTGTTCTCTGAAAGCACAGTTAACTTCCGTTAATTGTCCCAGTCTCTATGTTTACTTCATTTAAATGGTAACATCATGAGACCAATATTGAGGATCTTACCCTCACAGTGATTTTTCTAGCTCTTAAGCTCCCTCTCTTTTTTTTTCTGGTTAGAAGACAAAATAAGGTATGGTTATGGGATTTTTTTAAAAATTTTTTAATCTGATTTTTTCCTAGTCCAGAATTCTGATTTTTGCAAAATATGTGGACAAGCACTGGAAATATGCACGCATTACTCTTGTCACTGAACTTAAGTATGGAAGAATGCAGCTTGAAATAATTTTAAGACAACTGTACTGCTACACTGTAGAAATAGAGTGTAGACAGAATTAGTATGAAGAATAATTAATCTCTTCACTGCGTTCTGTAGTCATTCAGACAAAACTATGCGGACTTTGTCTTTAAGACTGACCAACATGTTTTATTCTATTCTGTGGACTCCCTCATTGTCAGCCACACATACTATTTTAAAAAAGTGATTTATGAGTTTCTGGTTAGTTTTCACAAAATGTGCTATGCTTTTTGGACATCTAAAATATATTGTAGTTAGTTATTTTGAATACTGTAGTTCTGTGTTTGATACTGCAGAACTGCAAGCCTCAGCTATTTTCAGACTCATTTGAAAAGGTTGTTTCTCTTGTAGCAGAAAGACAGAGGGAGAGCAGGATGCACATATAATTAGTACATTACTCATTTTATTTTGTAATTATATTCCATGAGAATTTGGTATTTCAAAAAGTACAAAACTTTGATTTACAAAACAAAAACTCCAGAGCCCATTAACTCTTCAATCGTAAGAGCTTCTCTGTAGAGCTTCGTGCTTCTTCCAGAGCAAGCAGAAGCATGAGTTCTTGGTCCCCTTCAGTTCCCAACTGATTGTAAATTGTCTTGATCAATCTATTTTTCTTTGCAAAACTGATTTCTAGTTGAACTGATTGAGTTTTTCCTCTAGGTATGGATCTCACCCTAGCAATGTCATGGAGCCCTTTCTAGCCTGGAGACTCCCCTTTCTTTCCAGCATCACTTGCAAACCCAGCACAGTCCTAGAGTGTTTTTCTGGTTACCTCAGCCAGCTGAGAAGCTGTGTAGGGAACGAAAGTGCCCTTCTGATTAGAGATCACATTTTATGATTCTGTTCTGGCACTTGAATCAGGGGTGGCCATAAAACCACATATACAGGACAAGGTCCAGCAATCTGTGTTTGCTTCTGGTTATCCAGCAATAAACGTGGAGAACTAGGCAAGCAAAGGTGTAGAACTTGGTATGAAGTTTTGTAAAGAGTAATTCTGGACTTTGTTTTGTCACTACATTGAAGTGTTTCATCGTGTGTACTACCTAAGTTATGTCATGTTTACAAGCAAGAAATGAGAAGAGGTATACTGAGTGCACAGGGAAGTTATGGGTTTTAATGTACATTTGTAAAGCACGTTGACCTCAAAGCAGAAAAGACAGAAAAGATGACACTGAGAAAATGCTTATGCAAAAAGATTCCATTCAGTGAGCTGACCAAATACAGCACTAACATGGAGAGTTAGATTTGATCTGTGTAATTAAAAACACTTCAGCAAAAGTATAAAGTCTACTTACGTAGATCTTCCAGTTTCTCTAGGTTTTTTCTGTCTCTGAAGGAGACCAGTACCTTCTGTCAGCTCCTGCAGCTTGGCTTAGTTCCCATGCGGCACTGAAGAATTTTTTGAACAGATGTTGTGTGTTCTAGGCATAAATCCTAAATAGTTTAAAAGTTATTGTTCCACTTTCTGGTCTGGTACTTTTTCTTTGGATTAAGCCTGGAGTTCCATACCAGAGTTTATCAGTAATACAGTTTGTTTCATTTCTGTTATTTTGTTTCTGTTTTCTTTCTTCTTCATCTTCTCTATCTGTTTGGAGCAATGCACATTTCCCTGTCACCTCTTCTGTCAGTGTTTTCAGCTTCAGAGTTGCTTAACTGTGGTTGAAAAATCTGAAGGGAGACTAGATTTTGCAGCAAGATATGATTTTGACAAAGAGCATTTAGGGAAGTGCAATTAACCATCAACTTGTATGAGATGATAGAGAACTGCAGACCGAAGACCAAAAAGGTTTTTTTTTGAAAGAAATACTTGAAGGATAAAGGTCTTAAAATGTGCCAAGAGACCAGAAATACCCTTCATTCTCCATCTAGTGTCTTATTTATCATAATCAATGATACCAGCCTTCATATGGGTCACTTGTCTGGTCATTTGCTGTAACTGCCTGGCTGTATTCTACAATTCGTATATCTGTACATTAAGCACAGATCATAGCATCACAGGATGATTCAGCCTGGTAAGATGGTCTTCTGGGGAGGTCTTCAGCCCCAGCTCCTGCCCAGAGTAGGCTCAGCCACGAGATCAGACTGGGCTGCTCGGAACTTCACCCAGTTGGGGCATAAAAGTCCCCAGGCTGGAGAAGGCCCAGTTTCCCTGGGCCCTGACTCCACTGCTGGGCTGTCTTTGTGGGGAAGAGGCTTCTCCTTATCTCCAGCCTGAGCCTCTCATGTTTCAGTTTGTGCTGCTGCCTGTCGGCCTTCTGCTGTGCACCAGTGTGAAGAGCCCAGCTGTGTCACCTCCCTCCCTCCCATCAGTGCCAGATATGCTGTTGGGTGCCCCATAAGCTGTTGCTTCTCCCAGTTGAACCAACCCCAGTCCCACAGCTGCTCCTCACAGGACAAGGGCCCCAGCCCAGAGCCGTCTTGCTGAGACCCAAAGCCAGGTGCAGTACCCAGATGTAGTCTAACAGGCACCAAGCAGGGAGGACAGTCCCTACCCTGGCCTGGCTCTCGGGCCCATCTCCTGCTCACACAGCCCCAAGCACTGCTGGCCCTTGTTGCTACCTGGGCACACACCTGGCCCCTATTCAGCTCACTGCCCTCCAGGGCTGAGGGCCAACTCCCACAGCTGCCCCCTGGCCCCATCAGCCCCAGCCTACATCCCTGCAGGGCTCTGCCTTCCTGGGACAGAGCTTACTGAGCTTCATGGGGAACCATCAGCCTCTTCCTCCCCCATCTCCAGCTCCCTCTTAAGCGCAGCCTCGCCCTTGAAAGTGTCAACTGGTCCCCCCCAGCTTAATGTCATCTGCAAACCTGGAACATGTGCCCTCTATCCCCTCCTCCAGGTCACTGATAGAGATGTCAAACACAAGATGGATAGCATGGCAGAGATAACATAAGCTGCCGTTTGACTTTCCATGACCAAAGGTGATTTTTTAAGTCCAACTGTGCTACTCAGTTACTTTGCCAAAATACCTTTTTCCCTATCCTTTTGATAAACATTGAAGCAAATAATTTTTTCCACAGGTCAGTTTTATCAGTTTTTTTTATAAAGCTTTGGCAAACCTGCAGTGGGGCTCCACATCTACTTTAAGCCGTGTTCAACAGGAGGCAAATCTGCAGCTGTTGTGTGGTTGTTACTCAGGAGTGTTTTGAAGCAGCTAACCTAAAAAGTTGTAATATTCATCTAGTAAATGCATTTGTACAACTACACTATAGATGTGCCAAGTTTGAGTTTGATCTAGTGGTATTTCAGAATCCGTTTCAAAGTTAGAAATTATCCAGTTGTCCCACTCTCTCCCTCTGCATTTCAGATCCATTCAGTTTTAAAAGGATAAGATTAGAAGTCTTTCTGTCAAAAGTACTTTGTTGATATTTCCTGTAATTGCTCCCTGTGTTTTGTGATCTTTTCCCTTTTGCACTTTGCAGTACCAAGGAAGTGGTCTCTTTTTACACCAGACATCTTTTAGAAAAATAGCTAAATACTCCTATCCTTTTTTCTTCCCATAAAGAGGCTTGGTCTCCTCTTCGCCTTCACTCTTTCTCTCAGAAATAAGCAACATCCTTCTAAACCTTTCCTTGTCTATTTTGTCCTGTTTCTGAAAAAAAAAAAAACAAACTACAAGTAAATGGTAGGGACTTGTAACCTCCACACAGGAGCTTGAATATGGACCTCATGTCGACAAGTTATCTGTCTGTTTAAAGTTAGGTGTCAAACCTGCACCAGTGTGCAGGAGGAAAGTGTTTGCCCAGAGTGACATTCTGTAGAAGTCTGGGGAAGATAAGAATTACAGTCACAATTTATGGTTACCATTTGCTCCCTGGTGTTTTTAAATCTTTTACTGTAGAAAAGAAGTCTACTTGTAGTGCTATGATAAAATTCTACCTTGAGAAATGATTGTGAAACAATCATTATTGTCTCATCCTACTTGTCACACCTGTTCTCAGAATGTGCTAAGAAGTGCATCTCATATTTTTTTCCTTAAAAAATAAAACCATGCCACATTTTATTCTTGAAGAGCTACAAATGCTGTAGAAGACTGTTTCATGCCTTATCAACAGCACTATTAACTGAAAGTAATGTTTTAGAACTTGGGTGCCAAAATGATTGTATACAGTCCAATGACAGGGTTATATTTTGCTATCTTTTCCCAGTCAAGCTTATTAGTTGCTGTAGATTTGCAGAAGTAAATGCCTGTAACGTTTAGTCTGGATAATTTCTGTGACCATTACATGAGACATAACAACAGAGAATGTTCTTGACTACTGGAGTCAAAGTTGCATTTTTACTTCTTGCAATTAGGAAGTGTTGTTACTAGAAATTTGCTATATTGGTAAAAATACCAGTAAAAATACCCATGAAAAGGGTAGAAATATGTCACTTAATGAGGACGTTACTGAAGATCTCTTCAATAGGTTATAACTTCTTCAGGTTACAAGAGCATTCAATATTTAGGTGTCTTCTTAAAGAGCAGGATGTGTTTAGTATGTTCGTTATTTATTGGCTGAGCAAACCATTTTGAGATTTGGAAATGCATGTAAAGGTTTTAACACTTTCTTCTTGACTCTTCCAGCCATCTTAGGTAATACCAGCTTTTCCCCATATACACGCATGTATACATGTATATATTTGTCATTTCACACATAGGTTGTTAGATTGCTGATATTCATTGCCAGGCTTCTGTTCAATTACATTTCAGTTCTGTGTGCGTTGTTTACACTGTGAAGAATTTATTTGAAGTCCTTGATAATTAGTAATGTGTGAATTAAATATAATGTTATTCTTTTTCTGAACTTAGATTAATTTATTTCGTAATACAGTTAATCAATTTGTTTTAAGTACAGTAAGTTCAATGAAAGTAACATCGTGTGAAATATTCAGATAATAGTTTAAAAGGTTTGAAAGATAAGTGTTGAACTAGCCAAATAAACAATTGGCGACACTGCTGAACTTTTTCTTTAGTGCCTGGTCAGCCATTGAACTTCAAAGCAGAACCTGAATCTGAAACGAGCATATTACTTTCCTGGACACCTCCACGCTCTGATACAATTTCCAGCTATGAACTGGTTTACAAAGATGGGGAGCACGGGGAGGAGGTAAGTGAAAAGACTATATACCTTTTAAATACTCCTTAATGAGTCAGACATAAAATGATGCAATGGTTTAGAATTGATGGGTTAGTAACTTTCTTTGGTACAAATGCCTTGATGTTTAACAGTTTGTTAAACCCACCAGTCAGCCTAACAATAGACTGAGTGTGTAAACAGCAGAAAATGATATTGCGAACCAGTGGAACTTTGCTGTTGTTTGTAACAAGTCATCCACAGAAGTTGTATCCCATTTCACACGTTGGTCATGTCTCCCCAAGGCTGTCCCTCTAAGAAGGTTTGGAAGCAGAAGTATTTTGGGGCATGTTACAGATTCATTAAGATTTTTTTGCACTTATACTTGGACTTTGAAGTCTATTTTCAGTCAGAGAATTTCGATTTCTCTTTGCCACCATGTAGGAGAGTTCTCAAGCTTATCTAATCTTTCAATAATATTTGAGAAGAAAATAGGGGTTTTTCTAAAGATAAAAACCTGCTATGGACTTTTTCTGTACAATTATTTCTTACAGAATTTTCAGTTTGAGGGCCTCTGTGGTGTTAATACTGTAGACTTTAGAATAAACTCTTCTTCTGATATGGAAACGATGTGGTATTGCCAGGTGTCCCAGAAAAAAGAAAGAAGCCAGCAGCCTCAGAAGGCAGCAGGAGAGTGTCAGCCTCATTGATTTCTCCTGCATCATCAACTCATTGCTGATGCTTCAACTGAGCTTATGTTTATGGTGGCTTAACACATATACTGTGAATGCATAAACTTACTTTGTGGAAAGGGGCCAGATCCAAATTTTACCTCCAAATGGGATTCAGGCCCCTGCTTCGTTACCCTTTGGAAGAATTTGCTTCTTAACAGTTTGGACAGAAATTTAACTACAAGTTTAAACCCAAGATTACTCACATTATAAAACCTTGTAGTTCACTGTCATAAAAGATAAGCATAGGTCAGGCTTTGTTCATGTCTTACTGTCTGAAAAGCCTTTTATACTTTGTATGCAGCTATTACTTCCTCAAACAATGAAACAATATTTCTAGCTGTGAGTTTTCACCCATTAAGCTGTTGACTTTAAAAAATAATGTTCCTTAACATGTGTTTGTCATAAGTAATGTATTCGTTTTTGTTTTGGTTTAGTTTGGAAAGCTGGGGAGGGACTTTTTACAAGGGCATGTAGTGATAGGATGAGGGGCAATGGCTTTAAACTGGAAGTGGGAAGATTTAGATTAGATATTAGGTAGAAATTCTTCACTGTGAGGGTGTTGAGGCACTGGAACATGTTGCCCAGAGAAGCTATGGATACCCCATCCCTGGAAGTGTTCCAGGTCAGCTTGGATGGGGCTTTGAGCAACCTGGTCAGGTGGAAGGTGTCCCTGCCCATGGCAGGGGGAATGAAACTAGATGGTCTGTAAGGTCTCTTACAACCAAACGGTTCTATGATTCTGTGATTCTATGATTGGTTTTGTTCCGATTTATTTTCTTGAATTTAATTTTTTCTCTATGGGATTATCATCAGAGTATAAAAGCATTTTTTCTATAGGCAACATATGGAATTCAGAGTCTCTGAATATTAATCAAGTCATCCTCTTATTACCTACCTTTAGCAACGGGTTTCCACTGAACCTACTACATCTTATCGCCTGCAAGGCTTAAGACCAAACAGCTTGTACTTATTCCGTCTAGCTGCCCGTTCTCCACAAGGCCTGGGTGCTTCAACAGCAGAAATCTCAGCGAGAACCATGCAGTCAAGTAGGTGTCTTTCCTTGCTATCTTTATTTCCTTGTCCTGTATTTCTCAACAGATTAATCTCAGTAGCCCAGAGAAGCAACAACAGAGAAAAAGGCAAATTATAAAATACAGCATTCATGGTGCTTAATGCAGTGAACGAATACTTAAAATGTGTATTTTTGTAGGTGTATTATGGCCAACTTAATATATGAATGATTCTTACATAGTTTTAGAAGAAAACTCTGTAAACCAATGTCCAAAGAGACAATATTATGCTGTCATAATAATAATTTTATTTTATGTTATAATAGAATAAAATGTTTTATCATGCAATAGATGTACATTAATAACAATCCTCCACTGGTAAAATTCCACCTGCCCAGTCTGCAGATTTCTTGTAATACCAGGTTGTTCCTGCAGCATCTCCCTGAAGAACAAAAATTTGTAGAGTGGGTCAGGTTGAATATTTCAGACTGTACTAGAGATTTCCTCATAATTGTTCTTCTATAGTAGCTAATTGTTCTGATTTTAAGTTACATTTTTTTAATTGAGGCTTTTTATGATCAGTCATTTTCACACCAGGGGAAAAATTGTTTTCTTATTCGATGCTTATGGAACCAATGTCATGAAACTCATCACATTTGTCTGCAAATGAGATGCAAATGTTTGTCGGGGATTTATATATACATTTTAAAATATTTAAATTAAGACTTAATTAAAACAATCAGATATTCAAGGATGATGTCCAGAAGTGCTATTCTTGCCTTATATGTTATGCTTTCCTGACAGTTTGCATTACAGTGTCATTTTAAAACTTAGTGCAATTATGTTTGTATTTGTTTTAAATTAAATGGCCTTTCCTTAAGGTAATATTATTCAAAACAGAAAAATCAGATTCTCAAATCACATGAGTTTTTTTTAATTTGCAGTCATGAGAGATGTGATTACACCATCATTCCTTGTTAGTGTTATATTTTAATAGTAATCAGTGTGACTGGAGATAAAGTGTTGCAGACGTTTAACTAAAGCTTAATGTGCTTCTTTTTAAGACATTTGGAATAAGCCTAAAAAATTATTACATAACACAAGGCTGGTTTTAGAGATAGCGGCAAGGCACCTTTTAATTTTAGTAATCTAGGATCAATAGTTTGATTAATAAAAAGGTATTTATTTATTTATTCTAGGAGCTGTTTCAGCTATTCAGAATGCTCATTCTCATATATTGAGTGAAGATGGTTTAGACTGTGCATACAAAATAAACATCTAGGGGCCAAGGCTGCATGTTTTATATATAAGCACATTGCCATTTTTCTGTTCTTGAATATACAAAGACGTTATTCTTTTTTCAACCTAATGTCTTCAAATAGTAGGTAAATCCAACTGATTTCAGTGGGCAGACCCTGGTTATTTGCCAAAAAGATTGAAAAATATTTTTTGCAAAAATCGTGTGTTTTAAGAAAAAAATATATGCATTAATAAAACTGGTTATGCAAGTAGCTGAAGGATTATCCTTAGTTACCTAAATGCAATATTTTGCATTTTCAGGGTATAATGAATTAAAAAGTAGTGAACTTATCTATGAGTTTATTAGCAATATTCACCGCAATACAGTATTACCTTTCATCTTGATTTCAGAGAAAGATGCTACAGGGATTTATTTCTCTACATATAAAATACATTTTACTTGTATTTTACTTCCTGCACAAGTTGATGCTAGAAGGGGACCACCATGTTTTGAATACTTGATTACTGAATTAACCTAAAAAAAAAGGCAATCCAAATGTGGTAATTCTCATCTGTTCCCCCATCCACCTCCTCTAGTTAGTTGAAATGCTGGTACATTCCCTTCTGTTTTCCCTTCAGAAGAGCAGTGTACCATACTGAGAAAAAGCCATTGATCCCTGTAGAAAAGCTGTAGGGAACTGAAAGATACATGTGTAAATGTAATAGGGCACAGCAGGGTCCTAGGCCTTCTCTGTTGCTTTAATTTTCTTTGATGTGCCTAGTATAAGTACCAGAAATCCATTTGTTTCTTTTTTCCCTTGAGGAATGGAAAGAAAATAGTAGACAATAAAAAAAAAACCAAAACACAAAAACCAAAAACACAAAACATGTGCCGTAAAGATCTTGCACCCCAAATTTATGTTTTCCTTACAAGAGCGAAGGCAGAAATAGGGAAGGATTCCACGTTCACTTCTTCTGCCAGTGAATTTGAACTATGACTCCTTTTTTGGAACTCTGAATGATCTCAGTTAGTCAGCATAGACTATGTTAAGTCAAAGTGCATTTAAGCACATAAATGCGTACCTTTCAGTACTTCAATTGCCTCAATGAAAGCAATGGAATAACATAAATGCTTAAATGCTCTGAAACCCGAAAAGGGTAAATATGCCAATGGACTCCTTCGAGTACAATTCAGTAAATGTAAGCACTTTTGCTCTGGAGGATTGGTGTTGCTGACAAGAGGCAAAACAAAGTTAGAATCTCTCACTGTTCTGATGTGCTGAGCTTCTGAAATCTCTTTGTAAAATGAATACCTGCTTTCTTGACAAGTTGTTTGGGGGTAGATTATTTTTTTTTTCCCCTGTAGAAGTTACCTACATTACGGGTAGGATTTAATTCTTTGCTAGCAAAGGTGTCTCCAAGAGAAGTTAAAAAAATAAAACTGACAGCTGATCTAGGGTAAGTACAAGTTACAGTCAGAATCAACAAGCCTGTCACTTTTTTCTGGTAGGTAAATCTTTGACAACGTCTTTCTTCGTCTTCTTTTGACTGCATGCTCCTAGTATGTTGGCTACAATAAATGTTTCAGTAAATGTTTTCGATATAAATGTAATTTGCGGTTGACTTGTGCCAGGCAGACTCAGTTATAAAAAAAAAAAACTGAAAGAACAATGATTTGTTTATGAGAGTGGGGAGGCTACAAAAATGGCATTTTATGGAGCAATTTCTAGCAATTATTGCAAGTTTTTAGGAGTTCTGTAAAAGAGATTTTTCTCAAAGAAAGTAAACCCACTTGAAGGGGATATGTTGAAATTTGTAAGTAAATAAATGTCATGTGTCATTTAAAATCTTATCGCTTGCACTAATTGCAATAATTATAAAGATAGACCAGTAGTCATAGAAGTGTCACGTTTTTGTTTTGTTTCAAGAAGAATTTTAATTACAGGTAGGTAATATTATTTTGAGGTTTCATTTTAATGTATTTCCCCTACATCCTTTTTCACCATTTAGTTGGTCTATTCATTTTCAGTTTCCTCATGTTAATAAGCCAAGGTGCATATGATTATCTGATGTCTTGCTTTTTTAAGTTTCTACTTTTTGTTTATTTTTTATTTTCATTTGATTGTCTTTTATTTTTATTTTTTCTTTTGTTCATTTTTTTCAATCACTCCTATCCTTTCACCCAAATCCTCCGTTAACCCACTACTGAAATTAGAGCCATCAGCTCCTCCTCAAGACATTAGTTGCACAAGCCCCAGCTCCACTAGCATTTTGGTAAGTTGGAAACCTCCACCAGTGGAAAAACAGAACGGCATTATCACTGAATACTCCATCAAGTACATTGGGATTGATGGAGAAGATGTCAAGCCCCATGAAATTTTTGGAATTTCCTCGGACAGTACCCAATACCTTTTGGAACAGCTGGAAAAATGGACTGAGTACCGGATCTCTGTGACTGCCCACACTGATGTTGGACCTGGCCCAGAGAGCTTAGCAGTATTGATTCGGACAGATGAAGATGGTATGTTGCCTCCACTACATCAGTTTGCGCCTCTATGACTCTCTGTCGATCTGCTGTCTATGGTATAGCCTAACAGTATTTTTTTCTGCTCCTTTTTTTTCCCAAATCACAGATATTATCACAGATTTTTTATTTTTTTTTTTTTTTGACAGAAAGTACCTTTTTGTGAGTGACATGAATCTGCTGCCCCTTTAAGCCCATACATATCCTTGCTTATCCTTTCACATAAAAATAGCTCTCGGGGAAAATCTTTCTGCCTTTTCTTTGATTTCAGTCATTGTTATTTTTAAACACTTATGTCTATGAACTTTTTTGCAGGTTTTGTTGGGGTTTATTTTAACTGCTTTCTTGTTCCATGTTGTGCTTTTTAATTTGGGTTTTTTTAGGTTTTTGGTTTTTTTCTTTTTGAGTTTTGTTTTTGATCTTGGAAAACTGATGCTCCACACTTTTTTTTTTCTTCCATGCTTGAAAGTGACAGAAGACAGCCCGATTATCAGCCTCCTTTCTATAGTACTGAAAAAAAAATGCAACAAACAGCTTAACAAACAAAAATAAGGGAAACTTTTTTTGAAATCTTTTGTGGTTTTATTATTAGTAGTATTGTTATTATTTCAGTGATTAAAATATCTCTTTGTACTATAATGCTTTGAATTTCAAAGCATCTTCCTTGGCTTTTGTACATTTTTACATGTTTTTCTATTTCTCTAATACTCCTTTTTCTTCCATTTTTTGCATCAGTCATGTTTTTTGACCTTTTCACTGAAAGGTAGAGCAGATTGGTTGAGCATTTTCATTTGTTGAACAATTTGTGTTCTTCAAAGAAAACATAGTGAGTCTGCCCTTTAAAAAGAAAAAGCAAAAGGCATGGGTGGGACAGGTGCCTGTAATTTTCTTCTATCCAATGATGTTGTTCCAGTTCCTAGTGGTCCTCCTCGCAAAGTCGAGGTAGAGGCTGTCAACTCTACTGCTGTTAAAGTGTCATGGCGCTCACCTGTACCCAATAAGCAGCATGGTCAGATCCGAGGATACCAGGTCCACTATGTGAGGATGGAAAATGGAGAGCCAAAGGGTCAGCCCATGCTGAAGGATGTCATGCTGGCTGATGCACAGGTAATTAGGGCATTTTATGTTCTTTTCTAGGTCACAGTGAAAACATTTTGTGTACCAAAGAGATATCCAGAACTGCCTTTTGTTTGTTCTTTCTGTATTTCAGCCTACCAGCTAACCTTTTTCATATCTGTTTTAACAAGTTTTTTTCAGAATACTTTCATTTAAAGATCCTTAGGCCAAACCTAGGCACCCTTTTCTATATAGGTTTGCAACTAAATGCTAAACTGTGTCATTCTGCTGGCTCCCTTAAACCTGGACACTTCACCCTATACCTGTGCTGTGAAGTTTTAAAGCATCAGGGAGATCTGAGCCAGGTCACAGTCAATGTGGCAAACTGTGCACTACCTGATCCATCCATCTGATATTTCTTGGTTTCAGTGGAGAATGTAGAATCATTAGAAGCCTATCTTAGCCAATATTTACGGGTTTTATTGTCATCAGCATATATCCACCTCACCGCGTGTTTCACAGGAAATGAGTTTATTAGTGCCACTTTAGAAATCACCAAGGTATTTATGCTTGTCGTTATTCATATCAATAAGTCTGCAATAAAATGAGGAGCTTAGTTTAAATAGGTATGGGGTTACTCATATTGCAAAATTTCCTGTCTGTTTTATAAATTATGAGACATGATGAAAACAAAAGCCTGATCACATGATGTTTAAAAAGCTTCTCAGAAAGGAATTTTACTGATTGGGATACACTAGCGCTCTGTAAACTGAAGATTCCCAAAGCTCCTGGTACTGGAGGAATCATCCTACATTGAAACTATTACCAAGTACCCACCTCTCACTGCTAGTTCTCAATTTATGACTAGAATGACTGGAAATTAGAAGAAATTATCAACCTAGCATAAATTGAAGAGTTACAATTGCCTCTTAAGCATTTCACGTTTTTGGCAACTTTTGTTTCTTCTTCCAGTCATAGTTCTAAATTTCAGCTCTGCAGATACCTTTTCTGAGAACAGGTCTCCTACACCTTAATCTAAAAGTGTTCTCTGTTCCTAGAGATTACAGTTTGCCTTTGTTGCAGTTGCAGTTTTACCTGCCAGTCCGTCTATCTATTCATATGTACTTACTTACCTATTTTGTAAAACATGGTGTTCTTACAGCTTAAATTCAGTGGACAGAAAGGTGGAAACAGGTGGGAGGTGGAAGGGAAAGGGAAAATGGAGAGGAGATGGAAAAGGAAATGTTGGTGTGCTTTAGTTCTCTCCTTCTTTGCACAGATGTTCACTTTCAATTTCTGTGTGGTAGTAGTTTAAAATAATTTTAAACAGTAGAAGGTCAGAAACAGGAGACTACATGACATATTAGAGCCCAAATGTCATAAAGGCAAAATCTTGTTTGTTTTTTATCAAGTTTGGCTTTGACTTGCCTGTTTGCCATTGGTTCACTCTGGATCGTCACCTCCTTTCTCCTCCTGCCACTCCTTCCTGCCTATCATACTTCTATGATACATGTGATCAGGGTTTATGCAGGTATGAAGACCTTGATGGTAAAAGATCAGTGTGGTTAGGTTTCAAGAGTAAAAAATGCTGCTATTGATTTAAATAAAGCGTTGGATTCATTTAAGAGGCTCACGCATATAGCTTAGTAACGTAATTAAATAAACCGAATGCTACAAGACTCTAAATTATTAATTCAAATTGTACATGATTTTTCCAGACATCTTTCATATTTATATTAGTATTAAGAAGAAATCATTACCTCAGTCAGGGTACAAAACTCTTTTTTTGTTTTTCCTTCCAACTTTCTTTACTCTCAATCAGTGGGAATATGATGATACTGCTGAACATGTGAGTACTTTTTGACTGGCCAGAAAAACTGTGTGTTGGATTTGGAATTTTTTTTCTTTCTGCTTGTTTGCTTGTAGCATCCTTTTTTTTTTTTTTTTTTTTGAGCTTTCTTCAGTTTTCTTTTGTTTCTTTTGTCATTTGCACAAATGCATGCTCCTAATATCAAAGGATTTTTCCCTTATGGCACTTCTTTTCTTTTTTTTTTTCCTTTTCCAGGGAGAGTGGGTATACTGTTGCTTGCTTGTTCTGGGGTTTAGCATGATGCTGAAATGTACAGAACTGATTTGAGTTTTCTTCTTTTTGGTGGCTGTCACTAACTTTACCTCACAATTTCCTCTTTACAAGGTGTTAGTAAAATAAAACAAAAGTGGTTCAGAGTTGCATAGCAATAGTCAGATTTTTCTGTATTCATTTTAAGGTTAATGTTTTTTTGTGTAGCTCAAAGTTGAAGTCAGTTTTGCTTTCTTTTTGGTAGTTTGATAATTGTATTTTGTATCCTATCAAGAAATCCAAATGCCCTGTAGTGTTTATGCCTAAGTAATAGTGTCTGATGTATCCAAATCACACTTTTAACAACAACACTACATGTAATCATATCTTTTACACCATAAAGTACTGTTTGTTTTATATGAGTCTAATATCTTCATCACTGTTTAAAAGGATAGCAACTTTTTTTGCCTTTTACAATTTTATTCTGTTAATATGAGATGCAGTTTCCTTATGAAAGATGACAAGTTTGTCTTACTGATTTTGACCTTTAGGGTCAATTTAATTCTGAAATAGAGTCTAAGGAGGTGTGGTTTTTGTAGGTTTTTTTAATGTGTTTTTATTTTATTTGAGCTATTTTGCCCACTCCTGATCGTTACCGTATTATGACTGTGTTGCTAATAACTGACTATAAATACAATGCCAAATTCTAATCACATCTGTACCCACTATCTTGAAAAATCCATTTACTGTGGATAGTCTGATCTATAATTTTTATATTAGCTTTCATCGTTGTTGCATATGAGGGGTATGTGATTGCACATTTGCGATGTATTCTAGACACGTAAATATACCATCTCTCTGGCAGCAGTGAAATTTAATGTAAATCCATTCAGGCATGTGAAAATGCAAAGGAGTAGTCCAGTGGTTACACACTGGAAGCTGATGAGTCAGGAACTTTGGGCCAGTCAGTTGTGTCCAAATACTGTCCTTTTTTATTTGCATATAAAATTTATATCATAAGTGTCCGGGCTTAAATTCCTCTGGCTGCCTTTATAGCATGACATAAGTTCACTTCATGTCAGGTGGCTGGTCCTTCACCATCTTCTGCATATGTATACATGTGTGTGCACAAGCATGTATAAAAAGATTGCCCTTGCTTTGATACTTACAGTTTGATCCTTCTCCTGTTCACTTGTACTAGCTGAAGAGCTACTTGTTTTGTAGCAGCTGTTGTTTGTTTGAGGGCCATCAGATTTATTCTCTGACCAGATTTTTAATGGTGTTTTAGGTAGTTCGTTTAGATTTGAAGAGAGTGTTGTTTCTGAAGTCCTTTGAGATGTTTAGATGTAGTATTCAACCAGTGACACAAGTTGCAATTAAAGTGTTACAAAAGTAGTAAGGCTTTCTTGTTCAGCTAAACCATCATTACTTACAAAGTGTGGATACAAACACAACACTTTTCTTACTAGGCATTTTATAACTATATCAGTGATGTCCTGTAAATGACTAAGTTAAATGGAGTTTCTCATATCTCACATGCATGCATTTCACAATATTGGTAGTATTCCTCAGGCAAGGTATTTCAGAAGGCTTTCTTCAGTGTTTACACCACTAAGCCTTTGGCCTTGTGCCTTGTCTACCTGAGGCATACTATTTAGAAGTGTGCTGTCTTTTATTGCTTAAGAGAGTGGAACACCTTGCATTATGAAGTATTTCACATAGAACTGTCTGTTGGTGCTCTCAAATGCTTGCTATCACAGCCAGCAGCACAAAAGCGTGCGCACTATATGTAATATACAGGTGTTGTCTGAAGGAACTTTCTGTGCTGTCCTGGAAAACAATTAAAACAGGTTTTAATTAATTGTTCTTGTTTAATTTCATCTTAGGAAATGATAATTTCTGGGCTTCAGCCTGAAACTACATACTCATTCACTGTGACAGCCTATACAACAAAAGGTGATGGAGCACGCAGCAAGCCCAAACTTGTATCTACTACTGGTGCAGGTAATACTCACATAGCCATTAATGTCTGAAAAAATCCTTTGACTTCTGCTAGTATTTTTCTCCTACTATCTGGAAGTCTCCTGTTGTGTTTATAGGATGTAGGATTTTCTGTTTCAGTATTTGGCCCTTTATTTATTTAGATTAAAACAGAACCAGTGTCTCCCTTTGTCCCTTTCTCAGTTCAAGATGTGGCCAAAATGTAGTACTGAACTTTATACTTTCTAGTAGCTCTTCCATTATGATCGTTGTCTTCTTGGAGAGTAAAAAATAGAAATTAGAGCTGAGAAGGATATTTGAAAAACTTGTGAAGGGCCTTCCTGATCTTTGTGAGGGCAGCAATGCTGCTGCCTGTCATTGGGAATGTTGAAAGAACCAATCCATATGACAGTCACAACTTATCTCAGAAGAATATCATTATCAAAGCAGATGATTAGAAAACAGAATGAAAGTCCAGCCTGTGAAACCCTGAAACCCATATTGCTTCAGTAGCAATTTGAGGCATGAACTGGGACAAAATATGCTGTGCCACTGTGTTTAGTCTGCGTTTGATCACAGGTGGTACTAGATGGTAGGTATCTGACTGTGTGACCAATTCAGCTGATTCAGTTAGCACTGACAGGACAAACTGAATTGCTTTTAGATGAAGAACAAGATTTTTTAAGTTTAAATGGTTCACTGTGGCAGAACTTAGCCAAATGATGCCACCACAGCCTTAGCGTGGTGTTCACCTGTAGATGTTCACAGCCTGTAGGTGTTCATTTTCTGGGTTTTGTAGTGAAGCCGTTAAGGATATTCTTTCACAATCACATGGAAGCCTTTGTAGCACCATTACAAGCTCTCTTAATAACAATGTACTGTTCATACTGAAAGTCCAAACGGCATATATATTTGTATTTATTCTGATTGACTCAATTTTTAAAACAATCACTGAATGTAAAGCACATCTTGTACTAATATCAGAAACATCTATATCCTTGTCTCATCAGCTTCCTTGGAAAAATCACAGTCTTGGTGGCTAGATATATCATATGGTTTCATTTCAAATTTTAAAGTATCTTCTAGGTATCACTCTTGACTGATGCTGAATTCTCATGGTCTGGGAAAAAAAGTGATATATACTTCTCCCTTGCATTTGTACTTGATTTAATAAAAAAGGCATTTGATCCATTATTCTTTTTAAAGTTCAGTTCCCAATGTAAATAAACACAATTATATAGATTATGATTTGACTGGTTCCTAGGCATAAACATAGGCTAGGCAAACCTACTTGCAAAACATAAAGCTTCTGTGCATTTAGTCCTTATTTACTATTCGTGTTTCACTCTTCCAAGATCTCTGATGCTTCTACTTTAGAAAGCCAAACAAATCCCATGTCCCATGGTACACCAAGTGACTCAACAGCAATCGAGAATCAGAGACATAACTGTAAATGTAATACATATTACACTATTCTTGCTGTTTGCTTCACCTTGTGGACAAGTAATGTTTGTTTCTGATCTCTAGGATAACAGCTAATTACCATATTGCTCCTTTATACATTCCAGGTTGTACGAACACCTTTTCACTTGCTGTTACAGCTTGCTGTGGTTGAGCTCTTTTTATAAGGAAAATTCCTATGCAGGTTTTTGAAAAACGAGACAATAAATATGGTCAGTACTAAGAGTTTCCAGCGCACTGTCTTTCTATGAGAATACATCAGGCATTAATGATGCATTAATGTAGTAATGGAGGTGGATTTCACTAGATCACAGAACATATTTTTTCACGGGCAATTTCACTTCATTTGGGTTCATGGCAAATTCGGGTATTATTAGCAGAAGTTTCAAGATAGAGCTATTCCATGATGCTACTGTATATAGGACTGCAGAGAATCCTGCCGTTTGTCCCACAAGACTGTAATATTCGCAAGTGATCATGGTAAAAGAAAATGTTAAGTGAAAGCTATCTGGAAATAAAAAGAGAGAGAGGAAAATATTTTCTTTCTGTATCAATAGTTGCATGTTAGTGAAAAGGAAATTCATACACTTCACAAAATCAGATAGACTTCATATTAAAAAAAAAAGTAAACGTTGTTGTTTACCATTTTAATCCCAGGGTATTTTATTGGATAAGTAAGCTTTATTAGTTCTCCTATGCTCTTCAAGAGCAAGTAGTTATTTCTTTCTTTCTCTGTAGTTACCACAAACATTAAAAAATAGTTTTAACTGTGAGGTCTGCTGGAAGAAAAAAAAGCAATTTATCACAAACATAATTTAGTGACACCTTCCAGCCGTCTCTCCTCTAGAAAGCTGAAGGAGTTATTATTCTATTTGTTTGAACTCTTCTTCTCTTTCATATGCTCCATTGGTTTCAGTAAAAGTTATAATGTAGAGAAAAATACAACCTGCAATAGGCCTTCACAGCCTTTTCTTTGTTCCATAAAGGCTCGTAATAGTCAATGAGGAAAAGTCAGAACTAATCAGAGAGATACTCTTTACGCAGCAGGAAGTGTAGGAAAAAACTTACAAAATTCCTGGGAATAATACTTGCAGGCAAAGTAAGACATTAAAGGAAGGATATTTGGAAAATTTATATAAAAACTAGTCATAATTCTTATGCAATTAGAAGCAATGTGACAACTTATGACAGCTATGATGAGGAAAGAGCTCATTAAATACAGAATTTTCCTCAAGCCATGCTATTCCTCCCTTCTTATTCCTGATTCATTATGGATTGGTTGTCACAACTTCTGACAATAAGAATCTGATTTGCTGGGTACCTGAGAACTGAAAATAAGGAATAAAATCCATTGAAATGTTTAAATACAAGAACCAGAGCTCACAGTGCAGCAGTTACATTCACGTGGGAAGGCTTTGAATGCAGATGGAACTAATTAGTCTTCGTGGAAGGCTATGTTATCATGACAGTACTACTCGCAAAACTATTCTAGTCTCTTGACTTGTCAGGCATTGGTACACAAAGAACACCAAATTTCTAAATAGTTATGAATATGCTTCATTATCAAATAAGTCATTGTAATAGAAACAGACTATTTTGAAATAGAAATATTAATGAAAATATAAATGAAATACATATGTGTATAACTGAATATGAACAAATGAATAAATGAAAATACATATATAAATTAAATAGAAACAGTAAATGAGAGCAATTGATATCAGGACTCCAAAAATATACACTGTATAAGTTGTATAATGGGATTTCCCCATCAGTGAGGGCTAATTCAATCCTTTGACTCACTGAACTTAGAGTCTGAACTGTGAAAGACTTACCAGTTTGGAACAATAGGTCCCAATTAAGAATTTGAATGTATCTAGTGTGCAGGTTAAGAAGAGCTTCCAGTTTAGTCTTCTTCAGAAGAAACCCAGTTCATGTGCACCAAGACTATGATGGAAACTAAATCATATGTGATAAGCCAGGATAGTCAAGAAATTAAATTCTGAACTGTGCTACCACTCCAAGCTGAAACAGTCCATGCTGGAGGTGATTTGTGTATGGAGAGTGGAATGATAGTGTTCTGTCATACGTAGTAATGATTGTGGATTACAAGGTTGGTCTGACTTCCCTTCTACCACATTTTAACTGTCCGTGGCAAAAGTTATGTTAGACACATCTAGAAACCTGTAATTTCTCCATTATTACTACTACTACTACTACTACTATTATTATCATAAATTATTTTTCCATTTACAGGAATGGCAGAATTGTGCCTTGGGTTAAATTAACGAATACTTATGACAGTACTCTTTTTTTGCAAGCAAGGATTTGTAAGTGAGACAGAACCATTCATAAGATGTCTGTTTGAAGTTTTACTTCTTGACTTGTGTTCCTAAGTCCTGTGCCTCTGAGTGTTCTCTGTATTTAGAAATAATGGTAAGGGAAGAAGACAGCAAACAGTAAATGGCTTTACTATTGTAGTTCATAGGCAGACATTATGTCTTCCATTAGACAGTAATTTGGGGAACTAACAGTAAGAGAAGAGAAAATTTTTCCCGATTCCTGCTAAGACTAGCCTCAGGAATTGTACATGCAATGTACATGCAATTCTGTTTGTATTTATCATCTTTAAATAACATTGTGCTACAGTTCCAGGCAAACCTCGGCTTGTGATTAGCCACACACAGATGAACACCGCTCTAATTCAGTGGCATCCACCTGTGGACACTTTTGGCCCGCTGCAGGGTTATCGCCTGAAGTTTGGTCGCAAAGACATGGATACATTTACGACCATGGAGTTCTCAGAGAAGGAAGATCACTTCACAGCCACAGACATTCACAAAGGAGCTTCTTATGTCTTCAGGCTCTCAGCTAAAAATAAAGTGGGCTTTGGGGAGGAGATGGTTAAAGAGATTTCTATTCCTGAAGAGGTACCCAGTGGATTTCCCCAAAATCTCCACTCGGAAAGCTCTACTTCTACATCAGTTCAATTAACTTGGCAGATGCCACTCTTGGCAGAGAGAAATGGTATTATCACCAAATATACCATCTTGTACAGAGATATCAATCTTGCTCACCAGCCAGTTGAACTCCCTGTTGTTCCTGCTGATACCACTATGACACTTTCTGGCTTAAAACCAGATACCACATATGATGTAAAAGTACGTGCCCACACAAGCAAAGGGCCTGGTCCGTATAGTCCAAGTGTCCAGTTCAGGACACTACCCGTGGATCAAGGTAGGATTTGTCTGCTTATGACGTTGCCCTTTAAAGGAGTATCAGTCTTTGGATATCAGTGTTTTTGAAGCTGTAAATAAAACTGACCGGCCCATTCATAAAAATAGGTTCATCAAACACAAAAGGTAAAGTATGTAAATCTTACTATGTTTTGGATGCCTTAGAATTCAGTTGTCCCTTGCCAAGCAAGTTCTGGCTAACATCTTCACAATTCTTTCAGGTAAGGAAAATGTACTTGTTGCATTGTCACTAGATAAGAGTGAGAATGAGTTAAAATGTGATATTTAAATATGAACAAACAGGTAGGAGAATTGAATCCTTTTTGGTTTTCTACCTAAATGGAAAGCTAATACTCCCAGATAGCAGTGGAAACATGACAAGATCTAAACTCCAAGATGTTGTTTATATACATTGTTTCTTTTTTTCCAGCAGTGTTTGCAAAAAATTTTCATGTTAAAGCAGTAATGAAGACTTCTGTTTTGCTGTCCTGGGAAATTCCAGAAAATTACAATTCAGCCTTGCCTTTCAAAGTAAGTTACTTTCCATTTGTACAAGAGAAAATACAGAAACTAGAAGTTGTCATTCATCTGGTTAAGTAGCTTACTGAACATGTGGATTTTTTTGATATTGCTGTATTTAAGAATGCAAACTAATCGGCAGTACTGACCCAAACTCTTAAATTCCGTCATTTGGCGATATAAGCTTTCCACCGTTGCAGCAGTATTACCAAATCAGGCTCAAGCTTGTTACTATGCCTGCTATGAACACCTTGCTAGTGTGTAGTTTGTTGCTACTATATTTTAGACAAAACTATGAAAGAGAAGATTAATTTTCTTCTTTTTTTTAGTAATTTCTCTAATGACTGTAGCTGAATACTATTCTGATTTTTGTCTCCTCACATTTACCACAACACATTTTTGCGTTATAATTCTTTTACTCCACTAACTATAGCTTTAGCCAGATAAAGAGACTCAATGAACCTGCAGTCTGGCTGGCATTTCTCCTGCATCTTTCTTCATCACTTGTGTCATCTCAGGCAGTAGCAAGTGAAGAGCAGTAGTTAATGAACTGAATGTTTCAACAACTTTTCTGAATAAGGAGCGTGAATGAAAAAGTCAAGGTACCTTTAACAACAATTGTACCTTGATATAAATACTGTGTTCAAGCAAAACTACGGAATTTGAGTAAGTGAAACTGGATTTTAGGAGTAGTTACACTGCTTTAAATTAATGCAGTACTTTTTTTCCCCTGAAACTGAGTAAGTTTTATTGCAGTAGTGAACTCTGCACTATCTTACAGCCTAAAATGCCCAGTAACTTTCATTTTAAATTTATAGCTAGTGACGTTATCAGTTGCCTTCTCTTAGTAACCAAAAGCACCTTCAATTTATATATTCATTTAGATCCTTTATGATGATGGGAAAATGGTGGTGGAGGTTGATGGACGTGCTACTCAAAAGCTGATCACTAACTTGAAGCCAGAGACGTCATATTCATTTGTGCTGACGAACAGAGGGAATAGTGCTGGAGGGCTTCAGCACAGAGTGACAGCAAAGACTGCGCCAGATGTGCTTCGCACCAAGCCAGTCTTCATTGGAAAGACCAACTTAGATGGCATGATAACTGTGGAACTTCCAGAAGTACCTTCAAATGAGAATATAAAGTGAGTGAATGATGATGCACCATTGGTTTTATCTCCAGAAAGATGATTATTCTTACTGTTAATAAAATCTAGAGCTATAATGGTGGACCAGGGCTTTATTCTTCGTAACAGTACAGAGAGTACAGCACTCACAGTAGTACTTGGACTAATATTGGACTAATATTTGGTGATACTAAAATGGGAGGTACTGTTGACTCTCTCAAGAGACAAGAGGCCTTGCAGAGGCATCTAGATAGAGTGGAGCTTGGGCAATCGTCAATGGCATGAAATTTAATAAGAAAAATGCCAGATTCTTGTTAAGGTACTTAAATGCATCCAGAGGAGGGCAGCAAAGCTGATGAAAGGGATAGAAGGCGTGTCCTATGAGGAGCATCTGAGGACTCTGGGTTTGTCTGCTTTGCAGTAAAGGAGACTGAGAGGTGACCTCATTGCTCTCTACAGCTTCCTGAGGTGGGGAACTGGAAAGGGAGGTGCTGATGTCTTCTCCCTGGTATCCAGTGATAGGACATATCGGAATGTTTCCAAGCTGCATTAGGGGAAGTTCAGATGACATTAGGAAACATTTCTTTACAGAGAAGGTGATCGAACACTGGAACAGGCTTCCTAGAGAGGTGATCAGTGCTCCAGGACTGTCAGTGTTTAAGAGGCATTTGGACAATGCCCTTAATAATTTGCTTTAACTTTTGGTCAGCCCTCAAGTGGCCGGGTGGTTAGACTAGATGATCGTTATAGGTTCCTTCCAACTTGAACTATTCTGTAAGTTTGTCTCTTAGCCAAGTATGTAAGACTGAGTAAAATCTAGATGGAAATATATGGAGAAGGATTGCCCTTCAGTCTGTAGTTGTTTCTCAGAGTACTTTTGTGTTTCATCACTGATTTCAAGTAGCAAAGAGGAATTAAGGAAGCCAGTTGTGTTTTGAACAATGTATCCTCTCAAGAAGAATGGATAACCCGTTGATGGGTAGCTGCCCTGCTACAGTACCTTAAAGTACTCAGGTTCAGTCATTCTAGGACTATGTGAAGTTTTAAAGAATTGTTACTGCACTTACCTTAATTCAGGTTAATTAGTTCTGAAGATTTTTATTAAAAGAAAAATCTCAGGTTCTCTCCACTGGTCCCAGAAAGAAAACAGGAGATTGTGGGGAAAAAAAAAAAAACAACATAAAATTGGCAGAGAGTTTACTGGAGGTTAGTTAGATTTTGGGGGAAAAGGTGCTGTGGAGATTTAAGCAGCAGAAATAGGACTAAAGAGCTGACAGCACACGGTCAGCAGGGATTAGAAAGGTTAGACAATAAAGATTTGCCAAGAAAACATGAAGCATGGTACAATCAATAAGTGTTATTGCTCTACTTATAGTGATTCTTGTTGGTCTATAAGGTTCCCATGTGTAATGTAAAGGAAATGGGGAGGAAAATGAGCAAGTCATTAAATATTGTTGGGGATTCAACTTGTCCTCTCCCTGGTGGATTTTTACTGATGGCTTTGTAGAAAGCTGCTTCCCTTTTTCATTACTGACTGAGGATTTTGAGGCAGCTGAGGTCAAGAAAGAAATGACTTTGAGACATTAGAAGGATGAAAAACTGAAAAATGTAGCCATTATCATTAAATTGAGTAAGATGCGGTCAGTAACAAATGCAGCTAAGGAAGACTGAAAACGGAATGAGTTCAAAAAAGATTTATGACAGAGAGCATTCACAAAGTGCAGGGTAGCTGGTCAAACAATAACAGAAGATAGCGGTGGAAAAAGAGCAGATGCCTTTCCTTTTATGTAGTGTAAAAAAATGAAAGAGGCTAAGTGACATCAGGAAAGGTACGTTAAACCTATGGGATCTAACTGCCAATTTTGCAAATAATGTAACTCGTCCTTCTGTATCTATTTCTTAAGAAGAAGTGATCAGGCCTGAGACAGAAAAAGAAAACAACAACAAAAAAAATTGACTTGACACTTGGAAGCGGGCATACCAAAGCCACTACATTCTTAACACAAAAAGCTTACCTGATGCTTGCTAGAATAAGTACGATTGTTACAGCTGTAAAAGTCTTTGTATGGGAAGAACAATTTTGTGTAATAGTTACATTGACATTTTTACAGTTGCTGTTCCTCTATGGGTAAATTATATGCTCAGGATTGTCTCTATCTTACTATGAAGTACTATGCACGCTGAGAATCTTTCAATAATACTAATTACACAGAAGGTGAAACAGTTAATCATAGAATCATAGAATTGTAGAATCTCCTGAGTTGGAAGGGACCCACAAGGATCATTGAGTCCAACCCCTGTCTCTGCACAGGACAACCCTGAAAATTCACACTATGTGTCTGAGGGTGTTATCCAAATTCTGCTTGAGTACTGTCAAGCTTGTCACCGTAACTACTTTCTCGGGGAGCCTATTCCAGTGCTCGACCACCCTTTGGGTGAAGAACCTTTTCCTAATATCCAAAATAAACCTCCCCTGGCACATCTTCATACCATTCCCCCAGGTCCTATCATTGGTCACCAGAGAGAAGAGATCAGCGCCTGTCCCTCCGCTTCCCCTCATGAGGAAGCTGTAGACAGTGATGAGATCTCTACTTAGTCTCCTCTTCTTCAGGCTGATGGTTTGCTCTAATGAGTTACAGATAAATACTAATGGGACTGAGGGTAATGTTATAAAAGCCTTTGTAATTTATTAAAGATGTTAGAAGTAATTGTCATTATCTCAATGTTTGATACAGCATAGAAATTGGAGCAGAGCTCACCTTATGCTAGGTAAAATGGATCACTTTTGCTAGTGTCAACTCAAGTGAATAATTTTTTCATTTTCCTGTTGTAATTTGGGCTAATCTAAAACAATTTTTATGTATAAAGGACAATTCATGTTTCTGTGAATCTTCTCCATCTTTGCAAAGTCTTAGGTAGAAATAGGATTTTATAGACCACTTTGGCATTTTGTAATACTCAGTAGTTCAAGCAATATCCAAGCAAACCCTCCATTTCTCACCCTCTCCCCCCCACCCCGAAAAAAAAAAGCTCAAAACGAACAAGCAAATAATAATGTAAATAGTAAAATATGTTTTTAAAGAGATGCTGCATCTTCTGGAGTTAGCTAGAATAATAGAACTTTGTTGTCTTTTACAGTTTGTAGCATTGTATATTTGTGTGAACAGTTTCATTTCTCTGCTTGCTGTTGGTGTACTTCTACTTTCAGCTTTAAAATACTCTATATGCTGAAAGTCTTAGTGGCTGATCAACGTTGTGAGTGGGAGGCATGCATGAAGAAAGTGTGCAAGAGTGTGAAAGTAACATTTACATGCTGGGTGTTTCTTGATTGAAAAAGAAAATATTAACAATGTTAGCTGAAAAAGAACAAGAAGCTAAAAAAAGGATAAGTGAGGGACTGCTGTGCAGTTCATCCAGCAGATCTATCTTCAATGTCTGAAAGACATATAGGGGCCAATTCTCAATTGCTTTTTGTCTTGATTCTTAGACATCTGTCAAAGAAAAGGAATGTAGCTTGTGCTTATTGTATACATGGATATATCATCACTCACTAGGATTTTTTATTCATGTAACAAAAGGATTTTTAAAATACATACTCAGTTTTAAAATCTGGGTTCAACCAGCCTTACCAGCTTTGAATGAGGACATCAGTGTAAAAGATAATTTGTTATATTGTTGCTATAAGAATGCATGCTGCAGATTTTATTTAAATACTGGAATACAGCAAGTGAGTAGCAGTTAAAAACCTGTCACAAACACTTCTTGTTTCCACCACTTTGTGTTGGAGCTCAGCATTTCCATGGAGAAATTTCTCAAATTTCTTAACACAAGAATTAATAAGTATGTGCATTTACTACAGTAGTTAAAAATCTAAAATTTTGTTACATTTCTTTTATGGGAAGGAGCTTTAATTGAGAAGAGACGATTAAAATAGAGCAATGACGTGCACTGTTACGGAAGAAAGACAGTATATAGAGTCAATTTAGACTAAGATAATTTGTGATTAATTGTAAGGCAAGTCCTTTTCTGTAGACTGTCTTGCATTGTTTACTTCGGGTTTTTCAATGGCATTGCTTGAGTAAAATGAATAGTTAGTGCTGCAGAAGGTTGAATAGGCTGTAAAATATGGCAGATTGGAAGACGAGAAGGTGGTCCATGAGACACTAAAATTATCCTCCATAATGGAGAGCCAGACACACCTTCTTAATAAGCTCTATTGTTTCTAGAAACAAAGGAGAGCAGCTTCTTTCCCACTCCTCTGAGATGGAGAGTGCTTGACTTTTTGACAATTGCATTTATCAAGATGTATATTATACTATCCTGAATGTCCCACTTTGTGATTCTACTGCTTCTTTCCATATACTAATGTGAAATTATGGAACTGCCTGACATGTATGTTGGCTTTGTGAAGGAAACAAGGAAAGTGCCGTATCTCTATTATACTAGAAAGTATAATTTACTAGTCTCCATGGGGGTGAGAGGAGGAAGATATTTTCAAGAAAATGTTTCTGAGGAAAACTGATTTATGTAATTTGCAAATCCTAGCTGTAAAGAGAGCATACATCAAGCTGTCTTGTCTATGACTGTGAACAGAATACTTCAGTAGATAAAGCTGATGGTGGTTGATACTCAAAAGCAAAGAGTGTGTGGGTGGACTGTATGCTATGTCTTTATTTTCTGTTTATAGTAGTATTGGCATCAACAAATACATTATGTTAACCTACTATTATGAATGTTCCTAGAAATGGGGAAGATGCAGTGATAATTGAGATTTAAATATACGGTAATATGTTTCAATTTAGGGGACTGGGTTTTTTCCCAGTGTGATGGTGGCAAGGCACAAATATCCCAATACTCTTGTATTTCAAATTAAATAATAAACTGCAGTCAAATATGTAGGCATTTTAGAACATTATAATTAAAGTTTCATATACATATTTATATGTTTACATGAAAAGCCAGGTAATTAGTGCCATTTGTTTGTCAAATGTTTTGCAATGGATGTGGTTTCAAGAGTGTGAATCTTTATGTTTGGAAGGCTGCAGTGGCATAATAATGTGCAAAAGTTTGCTGTCAACACACCGATGTTCTTTTAAGTTCCTCTGAACAGACACCTACTCCATCAATTTATCTATTCCTTTTCCTTCAACTTCACTTTTGTCCAACCGTTTCCTTTACAGAGGTTATTACATAGTTATTGTGCCTTTGAAGAGGTCTCGTGGAAAGTTTATCAAACCGTGGGAAAGTCCAGATGAAATGGAACTAGATGAGGTACTGTATGTTTTTGTTGTTGTCTTCTCCTTTATTAAAGAAACAATCTTATTAGTGTTATGTAATTAACTCACCAGTTTTAGAAGTTTTGGTTGTCAGAATTTTTTATATTTATATTTGAATCAGCCTGTAGGATCTGACACAAAAGTTCAAATTACTTAAATTAGAAGACAATAAAGATGTTGAGTTGGAATAAAGCACACAAAGTGTCTGATCTTTGTTGGCATTAATATTTTATTCTTTTCCTATTGTAAGGCGTAATGCAAAAGTGCAGGAGGTGAAATGATTTGTCAGCAAAAGCTTAATCAGCAATTATATGAACTCTAATAAAGGTCTGTTTCATTAACGGTGTGTTTACTAAGCCTGTAACAAATGCTAAATTGCAATTTGCACTGTAATTTAACATTTGACCTTCTTGTGGTATTTTACCTGCTTCTCATATGCTTCTGGTTAGAAAACTTTTACGTAGTCTACATTCTACTGGCAATTTGTGCTCAGAAATAAATGAATGAAGTAGGAAAGAGCAACATTGTTTCATCATTCAACACTATAAATGACAGTAGCCCAAAGGGTGGAAGTACTTTCATTTTGGGAATAAGCCCACTAATAGCCCTGTAATACTAGATATCAATTCATTATGTTATTAATATAATGGTAATTCCAGAAACTATAGTATCAGCATTCAGTCTTGTCTTCTGTTTTACTGAAGAACAGTATAGCTTATGTGAACTTGTCTGTCTTCTTTCAATTTGTAAATTCGTAATAATACGAGTATTTATCATTGTAAGGCTCTTTTGAGAGCTCCATATGAAAGCCCTGTACAAAAGACAGGTGGTGGTGGTGGTGGTGTTATATCTGGCTAGAATGTTAGATCTTATTGAGATGCTATGGTAATTTGTACATATACTATCTCTGTAATTCAAAGACCAGAGATCATAGTAAATCTCTTTACTCCAAATTTAGTGATCTTTTGACTGGATCCCATCTATTTTTCTATTTTCTTTTGGTGGATTCAAAAGGTTTATGTTACAGGGATGCTTCACCATATGCTTCCCCATAATACAATCATTGGGAAGTAATGAGCATCTGGGAGCAATCACAAGGGTTTTTTTCCCTCTTCCCATTGACAAAACGGATATCAGTTTCAATGTTTGCACCAAAATGTAAAGAAAATAAAGATATTCACCAAAGTAACACTGCTGTACGAAGCTTTCAAAATATAAACAGCAGTCTTTTAGTCTTTGGTTTGTTTTCTGATCAGAAAAGGCAAAGAAGAATACATACAGCAACAGGAGGATCCTTAATCAGAAGATTAAAAACAACTGTTCAAAGGAAGGCATGGTTGTCATTACTGCTGAATGACTGATTGAAGCCTGTGTTTCCTCTTGACCAGTTTCATTTATGTGATTATCTCATTTGATTCAATTGCAGTGATGACTTGCTTTGATCTATTAACTTCTTCCCTTTAAAATAACTTAGATTGTAAATGCCATCAGCTCATGATCATAGTCCTAGGTGACATCAAATACAGTTAAACAGTAGAGCTAACAGCAAGATCCATGCAGTAATGGAAAACTGATTTAATATTACCACCCACTTTTAACATCTGAAAACTGTAGTCACATTCAGCAGCATTAACAGATTAAAAGACAGGTGCCAGATTACATTGAACTTTTGGGGAATTAAATTCTACAGATCTTGCTGATTCTCATAACAAAGGGTCATTTTAATCATCATGCAAGTTGTGATGCATTAATCTGTATAACAGATTGATAAAGAGCATTTATTAATTCAGAAATATTTGGGTTGGGATGGGTTGTTTCCCACTTCTACTGATATAATTGAGACCACATTGTAGAATTAATGGTGGAAGAAATAAGATATGCATTGACTGGAAAATGAAAATTATTTCTGATAAAGAACTAAAACCCTTGAAATATCTTTTAGAATTGCCACCAATACATATAGTAAGTACTAAGTAGGAGAAAAATCAAAAGCAGACAGCACCTGTATTTCGTGCTAACTCATCCAGTTTCAATTACTTAAAAGACTATTTTACTTCTTGCTTAAAAAACACACACATATTGTTTTTAGGTGTACTATTCCTGACAAACATGTGAAAGCAGTGTCATAATAAATAAATTTGGAAAATAACCCACAAAAACTAACCACACTACTCTCTGAGCAAATAGTTCCTGATGATCAAGTGAAGATACTTGTGCATATCTTTTTTTTTAGTACAACCTCAGATATCTGCCTAGTATCAGAAAGGGTTGAATAATAGCTTTTCCAAAGTAGTATATTCCAAATACTTTGCTTAGATTGTCAGAAAAAAAAAAGTATTTGCAGAAAATGCTACTCTGGAGCATTAACTGCAGCACAGAACTGACCAGTCCAAAAGATTTTCCAGCCTTATTGTACTTACCTAATCTTCCTGGTTCCTTGAATCTCAGTTCTGAAAAAAACTAAGAGAAATGCAAAATCTTAAAAGAGCAGACAACGGACTAGATGATATTGTGTATCTGAGAAAAATATTTATTAAAGATACAATCCTTTTTTATTAACTCAAAATTTCATTTTATTTTGAATATTGTGAGATCTGGTGACTTTAAATAGATATGTCATGCAAATAAATGAAATATAAACAAAATATTATGATTTGCACTAAGTATTACCTAGTAGGATTACTTTAGATTTATAAGCAATAAAACCTAAATAAAAGCCTGCATGTTAAGTCTTAAATCAATTCAGTAATTTTATTGAAATCTTGGTATAAAGTACAACAGGAGATATATGTGCAAGTAAAGATATTTGGCAACAACTCCATTTATATATGAAATACATATGTATGAGGCCAGAGGTTTACCTGAGGTCTATTCAGTCGTGTGTAGTCAATGTCACTGACAAAATTTTTGTCTACACACAAACACACCTAAGTTTAGCTGGCCTTAAGTGATGAATAACCACCTTTGAAAAAGTTGAACAAATTTTGTTTGACTCAGGCTAATTAACTCTTAGCATTCATAGCCAAAACTCAGTTTCTGATCACTTCACCCACTGTAATTCAGTACTTCAGCATTGGTATCTGTTAAATATATGCATTTTATGTTACTAATTCAAATGAAAGAAATAAAGATCAAACATTTTTCTTCCCCTTTCAATCTCAGTCTAATTTTGATTGCAGTACTCTTGCAGGACTTTGACATTTCATTATAAGTTATTTAAAATTGAAATTGTAAATATAGTGTAATCTCAAAATATGCAATAAAGAATTTGTTTGAGGTAGCCACACAAATAACTTCAAGTTCCAGTGGAAACTGTACCCATAAATGAAAGTATCAGTTATCTTCAGGGATGGCTCAAGCCACCTACCTCTTCTCACCCTGCAGTACTTGTAGTTCCTGACTTCCAGTTAGTATACCTATCACATCACATCTATCTACCTTTGTGTTTCAGCAGACTTCAGGATAGTCAGTGCTCAGCCCTCTGCATAGCTGTTGTTACCTTTATAAAAGATGGCTTCATATAGATACAAACTTTTCACAGAGTACTTACCTCAGCAAATCTTAGAAAGGATGAAACAACCTGGAACAAACTTAGATTAGTCTCTGCCTCATGTTCTGCCATCAGTAACTCTACCTAGGGCATAGGAAGTTACCAACAGATGTGAGAGTCACCTTCAATAAAGCAACTAAATAGAAATCTTGTTAATGTTACAGTTCTTTACTGCCTTCATTTTTATACCATGCAAATTTACTCTAGCTACTCATTAAACTGTTTAGGAAGAATGAAAGAGAAATATGGACTACTGATTGTAATAGAGTCCTAGACTAATGAATAATAATTTCTAGTTTCAAATTATGGCCAGTTCTTTTTTGCTCAGGGGATCCATTGCAATATACCAACATTCGTGTTGGAGCGTGGAAACCCAGAGTTAAATTAGTGTAAAATCTTTGCCACAGAAAACAGACTCAGTCTTAGAGCTGGAAAGCTGTAGATCTTTGAAAGGGTGACATCCAAATGCCCTCAATGCTAAGAAGGTTTGGATCAAAGTGGTACAGGTTACTTCCGTGTCTATCTGTAGCCTACATTTGAAATATGTACTTCAATGAAAAGGGGTGTTAAAGTAATCGTTATTAAAAGCTTCTGTCTCAGTAGCAGAGTGAACAGTAGATTGTTTTACATGTATCAGAATTGTTAATTGTGTAACTGCAAAATGCGAGATCCCATGTGGGGAAGGCAAGAAGATGAGCTTGCTAAGCCAAGACCTAACACTGAGGAAGAAGATGAAGGAAGAGAGAACTTCCCTGACTAAACGTGTTCTTTAAAATGAAAATATATAGTGAAGATTAGATTTTAATCTCTTTTTTTATTGATCTCTATCTAGCTCTGGAGATTTTTCTTCTCCTCCTAATGAAGTTTGTGCTGATCTACTGTATTAGCACTGTTTGTGTGCTGAAATGCCTTCTGTGACCTTGGGAAAATTTATGGGTTGCAGTCTGAGACTACAGGACCTTGAATAAGTTTCTTAAGCAAAAAATGAGGGGAACCATAAAGAGGCCTTAGAATCAAATCAGGTTAATATTTGTTGAATTCCAGTATATCTGAAGTCGTAAAAGATATTGAATAAGCATTTGTCTGATTTAATAAGTAATTCATGAATGGATTATACCAGATGAGCTGAAGTTCCTTCATTAGTTAGTAGATGTTTTACAAGTTTGATCCTAGCATCTAATCTTGTTGTAAATGTGCTGATGTAAATTCTAGCTTTGTTCATCAGAAGAAATATTTTATGAAATAAAGAAAAGTTACATTTTGGAAGCCAGATTAAACAGTTAAAATCTGAACTGTAGGTTGTTTGTGATAGGATGGTAGATAATATTTTGTAGTCTAGCATTAGAAAAGTTGTCTTAGGATTCATAGGTCCTCTTATTTATTCCTATCACCAGTCTGTTGCGTAGTGTTATAGAAACCATGAAGAACATAACTTTTCATGCTTCTGAACAAATAAAATGGCAGTCAGTTTCAGGTTTGGGATGTAATACATGTTTATAGATTTATAAACTCTTATGCAGTTCATTTGCTGTTTGTGAAGTACATTTGTAAGCACTCTTTTCCCTGAAATGTTCAGGAATTTAATATTGCCAGAGTGCTCAGTAGTCCTCATGTTAGAGACTAATAAAAAAAAGCTATTCATACCGACTTAGTATTGAGTTGTTTATATTTCAGAGTTACCAGAAGAAGTTAAAAATAGTTAATATAAATTGATTTTTAAAACTTATGGGGTTTTTTGAATTTTTATTTTTTATTCCTAGTTTTCAAATAATTACAAAAACTTACTAAGTTTTGTTATACCAAACAGGACATAAGAAAGTACGTTGCATATTCATAGGGAGGAAGAAAATACTATTATGCATTAGGGAACTGGTTGTCCCTTTGAAATCTGCACTGATGATGTGACACTTTGAATAGTGTGTTCAGCTTTAGGCCCCCCACTACAAGAAAGACATTGAGATGCTGGAGCCTGTCCAAAGAAGGGCAACTAAGCTGGTGAAGGGTCTGGAGCACAAGTCTGATGAGGAGCGACTGAGGGAACTGGGGTGGTTTAGTCTGGAGAAGAGGAGGCTGAGGGGAGACCTGATCGCTCTCTACAACTACCTGAAAGGAGGTTGTAGCAAAGTTGGAGTCGGCCTCTTCTCCGAAGTAACAAGTGATATGATGGGAGGAAACAGCCTCAAGTTGCATCAGGGAGGTTTGTGTTTGATATTAGGAAGAATTTCTTCACAGAAAGGGTTGTCAAGCATTGGAACAGGCTACCGAGGGAAGTGGTAGAGTCACCGTCCCTGGAGGTATTTAAAAGACATGTAGATGTAGTGCTTAGGGACATGGTTTAGTGGTGGACTTGGCAGTGTTAGGTTAACAATTGCACTTGATGATCTTAAGGGTCTTTTCCAAAAGAAATGATTGTACAATTCTACTCTGTGAGTGAGTTCAGATATATATATATACACATACACACCCCTATATATATGTATATTATGTGTGTATATATGTCCTCAAAGAAGATACAGTGCTTTATTAGCTTTTTTCTCCCCCTGGAGACAACAATGTCAGACACTGAAATTTGATCTAATTGTTTTATGTTTGTAGTCTGGGCAATACAATTGCTACCTAGTATCTTATCTTAACAATGATGGCAAGAAATTGGAAGATTTTGCGAGAACTGATTTAGTGATACTGATATGCCCCATGAAATGTGGATAAATTGTACTCTTGCAGTTCCTGGTCATGCATTAAATTTTCTCATTACATTGTCAATAAGTTACATTAAAATTGTTTACAGTTATCTTTCTGTTCTTCCTCTCTCTCTCTCTCCTCCCCTCCCCGCTGCCCCTCCCCCCCCTCCCCCGTTCTAAAGCTGCTTAAGGAGATAGTTAGGAAACGCAGAAGCATTCGTCTTGGGAGGGAAGTTGAATTAAAGCCATATATTGCAGCTCACTTTGAAGTTCTTCCTACGGAGTTCACGTTGGGGGATAAGAAGTACTATGGTGGCTTTGAGAATAAACAACTGCTCAGTGGTCAAGAATATGTCTTCTTTGTGTTGGCTGTAATGGAGCACGCAGAATCTGTAAGTTAGTTTTTCAATTCAATCCCAATTACCTTTCCACAATCATTAGAATATTTTATCAATGCTTATTCCACCTCCCAAAAGCTATTTTTTTAGAATATATGTCACATCTCTAAAGCAAGTGTTTCCTTGCTTAGTTCCAATTAATTCCTTGAACTTTTCTGTTTTGCTTGCATCTTTATGTGTTAGTTCTGTGTATAACTGAAACGTAAGGATCACCTTTTATTAGCTGTGTTGTGATCCTTCACAAATTACATGCTCCGTTGTTTGTGATCATTGACACAGGTTCTGAGGCATGAACTTCACTGCAGCATCTTTTTTGATGTATTTAGAAAAGAGTTCCTCTCTTGCCTTAATGCTGCCTTTGAATAGCGTTGTTGGATGTGCAGGATTCTTGGAAAGATACATTGAATCAGAGACATGCAGAACTAGCCTCTTTAGTTACAATCATTTTCTAACAACTTTATCAGTGAATTGTTAGAAAATTAGAAAATAAATCAATAATAGGGAAGATTCCTGAGGTGAGCTAAATAATGAGCTATCATTCCTCTTTATGTAATTCAACTTGTAGTTATGTCTCTTTATGCTTGAATTAATCTACCACATGCGTATAGTAAAAAAAAAAAAAAAAAAAAAAAAGAAGTTGCAATACATTTTAATGTATTTATAATACATTAACATTTTAACACACAGTGTGTAATACGGTATCTTTCTAATTGGTACCTAAACCTGACAGGTACATTCACTGACTCAACCACTTGAAACTACTACACCAATAATTTGAATTCTAGTCACATGCTTCTAGTATGTAACCTTAGAATTGACTTCTTGATGTCAACAGAATTTGCTTACTTAAAGACAATGAGGAAGTAGTTTCCATTTGAATACTTTTGGATACATAGTTTCATTTGAAAATAAAATAAATGCCTCCTGGAAGCTCTAACATAAATCAAAAGTTCCCCTTTCACTTTTTGACAGTGGCTGTGTAGACAGAGAATTCTGAGGGCACTGCATCTGAAAGGTTCAAACTGGAGAAAGTAAACAGCTTTTGGCTATAAAGTTAGATGGTGAAAAATCTGTGTGTCAGAAATTACCTGTACTAAAATTGATTTTTTCAATACAAAGTACTGTTTCTTATTTATTTTTCTGTAAGGCATTGGTCATTTCATATAACCCTAAGATTATTACTTTGTTAGACAGAAATCAGAGTGAAAAACAGAAATTAATAGGGTTGTAAATTTACAGCTGAAAAGGCTGATATGGTAAAATATATACAGGGGCCTGCTGTTGAAGATTTCAAAAAGCTTTCCTGAACTTACAATATGGACAGTACCTGATTTAGCATGCCATCTGAAGCATCTGTGTGATTAAGTATGATGAAGTAGTCACAGAGAGTGGAGAGTTTGTAAGGGTGAGTGAGCTTCAAGTCCCATGCTCCGGTGTATCTGCTCTCAATATAGCTGGTTTTCTTCTAGGAGTACAAATCCTACTGGTGTATGAGTTGTAATTTGCGAGGGATGTTTTTCCTGATATTCAAAATAGTTTTTACATAGAGTTTCTCCTTCAGAGAACAAAAAATTTCTCTGCTGATTGGGAGAACGGAGAACTTGCTTTACAAGAGGTCATGAGGATGTTTGAATTTCTTTAACTTAGTAAAACAGAAGCTGAAAGGCCTTATGATTACAGTCTATAACTATGTTAAGCCTGTTATCCATAAGAAGGAAAAAAACCCAACAGATAAATTTGGCAAAATAGTAAATGAGTTTAAATTAGTCATTAATACAGGTAGGTTGAAAATTGAAAGCAAAATCCTGTTTATTGGAGAACAAGTAGTAAGCACTCATACTGTTACCCCTCAGTATCCCTCTGTATCTCTTTCCAGGCATTTTTTCTGCCTGCTCCAAAGTAAGAGACTAAATACAAAGAGCTTCTTACTATAGCAGTGTTTTTTTTACTATCTATTAAGAATACTGAAGATGGGAGAAAAACCTCAGTCCGGTCAAGTGTTTCAGGAATTGAACATGGAGACTCCCCAGTTTCTAAACAGCAGTCACAGACTTTTGAAATGTTTGGTGCCACGTTCAGTAAAGGAGCAAAATACTGGTCATCATTGACCTGGTTACTAGCTGAGTACCAGCTAGTGTAAATCGGTCAGCTTTGCCGGTCCTAATCCTATCTCAAACCCAAACACTGTCATAGCCCAGAGCCCAAAACAAGGCCAAATGAAGTGTAAAAAAACGTGCCTCCTTTGATAACACTTGTCCTGGCTTAGGGCATCTTTCACAATCCAGTGCAAACACGGTAAATGAAAACTAATCTTTTCTTCTGGTTATCTTATTCTATCTTAGCTGGCATTGCCTTTGTCCTGTCACTCCATGACCTTGTAAAAAGCCCATCCCCAGCTTTCTTGTAGGTCCCCTTTAGATACTGGCAGGCTGCTAGAAGGTCTCCTCAGAGCCTTCTCTTCTCCAGGCTGAACAACCCCAACTCTCTCAGCCTGTCTTCATAGGAGAGGTACTCGAGCCCTCTGATCATCTTTGTGGCCCTCCTCTGGACCCACTCCAACAGGTTCCTGTCCTTCTTATGTTGGGGGCCCCACATCTGAATGCACTGCTCCAGTTGGGGTCTCACCAGAGCAGAGTAGAGGGGCAGAATCACCTCCCTTGACCTGCTGGTCATGCTTCTTTTGATGCAGCCCAGGATACCGTTGGCTTTCTGGGCTGCAAGTGCACATTACTGGGTCATGTTGAGCTTCTCATCAACCAAC